GTGGACACCCGGCCTGGCCAGGCATCAGGGAAAACCAGAGGAGCCTCCCACCCTGCCCTCGGGACACCAGCCAGCTCCGCCAGAGCACAGGCCCGCCTGTGTGCAGGTGGCAGCGGAGACCTGCAACAGGGCCTTTCGGTGGCGGGAAGCATCTGGTCAGGTGACTGGAACTCCTGATAAAGGCTCAACAGCAGGGAAGCAGCACAGCACGTTCCCATCCTGCTCTGCATTCTGGGTATGGGCACAGCCCCTACTGTGGGTGTGGGAAGCCCCTCCGGACAGCTGCCACCCTCCCTGGGCCTCCCCGGGAGCCAGAGGCTATCGGGGAAATACTCCAGCAGAGAGCTGCCCACAGAGGAGATGGGGAAAATGCAACTAGTCAGAGGCAGGCCGCCGGGCTCGAGCCTCATCGCTCTCCCTCACAGCTGCCTCTCCAGTCCCTGGCACCTAATCAGTACTCAAAACAGTCGTCGAGTGAATCGATGATTGCCCTGGGAAGAAGCGCACTCTGTACGTGCGCTGGCTGTCCCTGGGGGCGGCATCAGGCCTTAATGATTGATGCTGAAAATGTTCTGGTCCAGCGACCATTAAAAATAACCACATTCAGGGAAAAGGGTGGGAGGTACCTTCGGCTTTCAAGCTATATGTTTTGTATTGTTGTAATCTGGATGATTGGCATGCATTGCTTTTGCAATCAAAAGACATAGTAAATCTACTTTAACACACACACACATATATACGTGCCTGTACCCACACAACCTGAGACCATGACCGGCTACGTGGGAGACTTGCCTATGACGTGTGTGTGTGTGTGTGTGTGTGTGTGTGTGTCATAAAGTGAAGAGGAGGGCTTCCCCACCCCACCCCACCCCACCGCATCCCCATCCCAGGATCCGCTTGGATAGGATGCCTCGTTGCTGAAGGCATCTTTTTTTGTAGAGAATTACCCATCATTGGGTAAACAAGAGTGACTTGCCCCCTGGGGAAATGTGGGGGCTCCTGAATCCAGCAAACAATAGAGCAGAGTAGCGGCCTGGTGTCCTGGGGAAAGGAAGGCGTGGAGAGATCACTGGCTCCCCGGGGGCTGAGCCCAGCGAGAGTCTATCTGGGGCCTTGGCTGAAAACAGAGCCTGAGGCAGGTGGTTTATTGGGCCAGGGATTCCTGGGGAAAGGAGGCAGGAAATATGAGGTGTGAGACCCTGCAGTCACTGCTGGGGACAATGGGGAGCCATCCCTCTGGGACCCTCCAAGGAGCCCTGGAGAGGGCACCCCAGAATTTTTTAAAAAATATATTTTTATTGAGATCAGAGAGAAAGGGAGAGGGAGATAGAAACATCAATGAGAGAATCATTGATTGGCTGCCTTCCACACGCCCCCTACTGGGGAATCTGCAACCTGGGCATTTGCCCTTGACTGGGATGGAACCGGGGACCCTTCAGCCCGCAGGCCAACACTCCATCCACTGAGCCAAACCAGCTAGGACTCACCTCAGAATTTTCCACAGGAGCTAGAAGAGGGGCGTGTTCACCCACCAACTTCCCTCCCCCATTGGTTAAGGGTCACCAGTTGGGGTG